TACTCTCAGATGTAAACTCAGTATATTGCAATGAAGTCTGAAGAATTTAGGACAGGTGTGGCAAAATATTGTAGGGTCACAGTACTTCACAGTTCTGCACAACCTTTTTACATTGGCGAACGAAATACACTTGATGGCAACCATACTTACACTAAATGTTTGACAAATTTACTCAGGCACTGGAAGCTCTGCTGCTTGGAAGAGGGCACATTTCTCACGTTTAGTTTTGGATGATAGTAGTTTGTAAATATACACATGCATTTAATCTATGACTAAGGTGCTGTCTCTCTCTCTCTCTCTTCGATGCAATTCAAAATAGGAATGCTTGTCTTCTTTTTGGGATCTAATTTTAAGATGTGCGTTAAAATTTTGCCAAATAGTCTTTCCAAGCAATCCCCCCCCCCAACTAAGAAGTGTTTTATGAAACTTCTTAGTTGCAACAAATTAGCAATGGGAGGTATTTTCGTACAACACCAAAACCGATATAATTGAAGCTAGACCTGTAAAGCCTATTAATCAATTGATTAGGTAAAGCTATCTAAGAGCCGCAAAAATTTGAAAAAAAACAGCAACTTTGTTTCCCTCTTATTGATCAATTTTAACCAAATCACTTGGTGAATATCAATCTCCGTTGATCTATTAACCAATGTCTTGAAAGGTAGTAGTAGAGATATCAAATAACCATTGTTCCATTAGTTCACCATTTAAGTTCAATATCTCGGACAATTTGCTATTATTCTGGTTTGTAAGATAACCTTCCGCAAACGTTCAAATGACCGAATGTATGTGATCTCTATTTTCTAACCAACAGATAGTCACCGATTTTGTGCAAATAATCTAGTTTCATGCATACATGGCGCTTAAGGCTAATTATGCAAATTTTGAAATTACTTGACGAAGTTGCCAGGGAAATTTTTGAAGCAATCGAGTTGGATTTGCTAAAATGTGTCATTACAAATGCCCTACTCAAAGTGGTCATGTGATTTCGCGCTGCACAAATTTGGACACCTGACACAAAAGTGCCCTTAGAGCTTTACCTATTTTTTGTCATTGTCAAAACTGACAATTCATGAATACTGAAACGAAAATTGGAGATTTCTAATTTTGCTCACCCCTATTCACAGAGTTATCACCTATGAGTTGATATTTTATTTATCAGATGCCACTTTTCTTCTGTGGCCAATAAATTTAGATTCACAGCTGCAGCCCTCTTTTAAGTGGAACTATTTCTTGACCTATATTCTTTAAACGCTATTGATTTTTCATACCAAATTGGGTACCTTATCCTAATTAGAAGCCTAAATCACAGAGCTAAGCTCCTTTAGCTATCGATTGGATATTTTTCTCCAGTTTTTTGAATATAATGTATATAAACCCCGAAACAAAAATGATTTTATTTAATAATGAACAAATTATGCTTCATTTCGGACTTGCTATTTTCGTTCATTTTGCTGACGCAGTGGCTGCACGTACGCACAGACGGGCGTTTTTGCTAGCTTCGCCTGCTTTCATTTCTTCCGGCTTTTTTCAAGGGAGGAAGAAAACTGTGCAGATTGTAAATTATCGTTATTATTATTACTTATAGAAATATAAGAAAAGAATGTTTTGTTATTTTTACTCGCGTGAAAAATCGATTATCGAGGGGGGGGGGGCGACGAATGACATACCGGCAACACTCAAAATAGATGTTGATTGGAAGGCCAAGGCACTTTAGCGCCTCATTTCATTTAAATTTAAATTATGACTGTATAATATTTTTCAAAATGGTATTTACTTTCCAATCTGGCAGCAATTACTTACCTGTGACGTCTAATGCTTAATAAACATTGTTTTATTCATGACAGTCAGTCTTGCCACTTCATTTCAGATTTGCTTTCAACGGTCATGAAGTCAAAATGGCCTTAAATAACTGACAGCCGCTTGCATTCTCAGTGTATTCAAGATTTAGTAGGGATGAGTTTAAATTTAAATGACTTATTGTTATATAATTCATCATAATTGTGACGGGGACCTTCTATTATTTTGAAATAGGAGTAGATTTTTCTGTTTCTAAGCTAATAAGTAATAGAATTCTTTTCATGCATTATTGTGTATGATATATTTTAGGGTATTCATGACAATGCCAATTTAAAATACATCTGGATTGAATGTGTGTAGTTTTTTATTACAAATGCTCAAACAATGCTCAATAATTTTGACGACAGGCTATTTTGAATTGAAGAATACAGCATAGACAATGGAGGAGCCATATTTGAGTCGATATTGGGGGTGAAAGTTGATGCTATTATTAGGACATCAAGTATATATTTAAACCACTTATTCTTGGAATTCGCCTGCTAGGTATGGAAGCAAATGAGTAGAAAAAGTAAGAAAGACGCTGATTGGATATTTACCCGTTCCAATATGGGCTAATAGAGAACATCGGAATTTCTAAGCAAATGGACTTAGTCATTCGACCACTTCGAGCGAATGATCAAGGTAAGTTGAACTTTGCAGCATGCACTTTTATTATTGTTTCATCACAAATGATTAGGGAGTATTTCCACATTTTTGCTAATTACTGCATGTGCAAAAAAAAGTTTATTTCCCTTAAAATGTCAATTCCCAGTCAGTGGTGTTCCTCGAACCCAAGTCATTCTAGGTAATTCTAGAAATAACTTTGAGGCTCCAACTAATACTTCCATAAGTTTTCTGTCATTTAACAAAATAAAAAGTGGAGTTTTCTTAACATTGAAACTAGTTCACTAGTATTATAAAATGCAATAGTTGTCCAGACCATCCATCTAGGTTTATAGGGACAAGTGAATGCAGGGAGAATTCGCTTGAAACGAGTCAACTCTATAGATTCGTATATCTAGATTACACGCATATGTTCGGGGTATGGTACACCGCTGAAGTGCCAGACTCGGAATTCTTTGCCTCGTATGAGACCGTCTTTCTGGAGAAAAGACAAATACGTGCACTAACTCTAACGAATTCTAAAGACCCCGTGTAAATTATACCTTACTGTTTGAGTTTCTAATTCTCAGAGACAAAGTGTAGAAGTCGAGTAATAATGGTTGAGAAAACGCGAGAGGGAGAGAGAGAGAGAGTTTACTTCCTGCAATTAAATGATTTAAGTCATTTCACTCTCTACCACTCTCTAGCAGAACTCTTCTTATAATGTACTCGTCTTTAAGTAGATTTATACAGTGATCCAAGGTTAGTTGAGCAATCAGTTGACTTAGGTAGGAAAGAGATTTCGTGGAGGAGATTTGTTGAGAAATCCTTATCCTGCTATTCATGATATATGCTGATACACATATATATTGAGCGCATCATGAAGTCCACTTGCTGACTTTTGAGCTAAAACCACTTGATAAGGTTTACTTTCCATTTCGAGAAAAAAAGACATAATTGAGTAAGAGATCAACTAAAATTAGTGCCTAATCTCCATTAAGCAATCGGTAACATGTTAAATATGAGTCAGAGATAAGCGTTTCATGATGCACTGTAAGAGGGATAGAAGATCTAACCATTCGATTAGAAAAAAAAGAAAATATCTATTTTTTCACATTTAGAACTCATCTTAAATCTGTATCTTCAATCAGGATGGATATTAAAGGTTCGATTCAAATCCTTTTTATCTAAGATCTTCTCTGAACTCCCCGATTGGGATGAATTTTCCATGAACTTCTCCATACGAAGCCTAAACTCGTAAGAAGTTGACCCATCCCACAATAACTGAACAAAGACAACATTTTGCAGCAATTCTTACCGGTATAAGAGTTAATTTAAGTTTATTGTACTTTCTTAAAGACAAACATATTTTATTAAAACTCAGACTATTGCATGCACTTTGAGTTTATTAAAATCTGCAATTGCTTACTAGGATTTTTGCTAAAAGGGAAAATACATGAATGTGGGGTGGGATAACGTAAATTCGAATAATGTGGGTTCAATTTTACTACTTTGAAATAACCTGTCTATTATCTTTCCATCAAATATTTTAAATCTCAAAGTATATATCGATGTAAATACGGTTTAAATATACCTAGAGTGCAGTCAATTCAGGTTTCGTAGAATGTGATTATTACGGGAAAGGAAGTCTGTCTATGGGGATTTTAAATTTGTGCCTGACAAATAGGCTTTGTCTAGTGTGAAAATTTCGAATCAAAGCCTTTAATTATCGGTTCATTTACGCTCGTAGTCATTGTGTTTTTTCATCTGGCGGATAGGCATATTTAATATTGTCTCAAAACCACCTTGAATTACTCTTTTTTTCTGCTATTAATTTATGCAACCCATTCGTCAATTCTGGACGTAAAAATCTCATAAACTTGGTTTTGCGTGCAATACGAAGCAAGTATTTGCGTCACTTCTCCGGTTGCATACATATTATGCTCTCGCAGAATCCTCCCCACCACAACTCGGCGTCCCTACATCTGTTGCGCTTTTACCAAATCGTCGAGCCAACTCCGTCTTTGAATAATTATGAAGCATCAAATAGTCAATTAAATGTGGTTTTCTCGAAAAAAAATTAAATTTAAATATAGGACATTGAAAACAGAATCGTTTTTGCTCAAGCGATCTTTTGAGTACTATTTATCGTCATGCAATACTTCAAACCAAAAATGGAACTTCCAGTTTTAATATACTTCGCATGGATATATATTTAAGGATTACGCAAATCCTTGATAGCAGAGCCTTTCAACTATTTGGTCATCTCAAAGCGAAGATCGAAAACAAGGAAAGAATATATAAGGATTGAATAGAATTTAAAGGGACAGAGCATATTGGACGGGTTTGTGGAGGTTGAGGGGTGGAGGGGGGTCAATCGAAGGGGAAAGTCGAGGAGTAGAAGAGAATTGCACTTGTGTGATTAAAGCTTTTGAGAGGAGGGGAGGGATTCAAAGAACAAAATCAATTTCAGATTTGTATTCGGCCATATAAATTATACATTTCAGGTATGGTGCATAGTTGCATTACAGACTAAAATGGCATACCGCTCCAAGGCAACTTTATTTCGGCTGTCCCTCAAGGACTCCCTTGATGAATTCTACAATAATGAGTAAACGAGAATACTCCAGTTAAGGACTTCATTAAGTTATGGAAATGTGAGTGAAGACGCTATCAATGTAGATATTGCACACATTGTGCTTCTAGGTAAAAGTGGCCAACTTACCCTCATATTTCACATTGCCATCAAGGTCAACATGGAGCTGTGTCAGCTTGATGATATCATCGATTTCATTATCGCTGAGCCTTTCACCTGAGAAGAGATAGATGAATGCGAATAAATTGATCCTTTGATCTTATAACAGAAATTATTGAAATGTTTTTCGAACACACCATATCCAGAGAGGACATGTCGTAGTTCAGCAGCACTCACAACGCCTTGACCCTCACGATCGAAAGTCTTGAAAGCTTCCATATAGTCCGCAAATGTTCCGCCTTCCTTCTCTTTGATAATGGCCTGGTAGACGGGAAGAAATTCGTCGAATTTGTACTGTTTCTCACCTGCGGGGCGTAATTAAACTGTGCAAACAAGAGCAAATTCCGAAATTCAATCTAATTAATTGAACTTGACTTACCGGCCTTTTTAGTGGCTCCGTGTTTGAGAGAGATCTTGATGGTTGGGTTCATTCCAGCACATCGAAGAAGATCTGGAACCTTAACGGCATCAATCATACCATCGCGACCGTCCCAGAAATCGAAAAGGTCGAAAACTTCCTTGATATCTATATAAAGTATCCCCATTTTAATCCAACGAGTTTCAAAGATTAACCAATTTCAGCTTTACAGTGGATACTTACCTTCGATTTCAGCCTTTGAAAGCTCAGCCTAGGGCGATAAGGGGTTAGAGAATTTCAAATTGAAAGTCAATTTACCATTGTTTGAGGAATTAATAAGGGTCAAAGATGCAATGCAACAAGCGCACCAAAGGTTGATCCACTGAAATGGGCAGTTGGATCCACGAGGATTCTCTAATGTATCACCTTCTTTGGATGGGAAATAGCCAATCAATGGGTAGATTGAAATTCCGTATTCAGTTAGGCCAATGGTGAAGGCAATCTTCCTTAAAGTCGATAAGACCGTTTCGTGCGCACGCATTCTTGCTGTAATTTGATAGGTTAATTCACGTTTACAGTCACGTTTAATTGGCTGAAATGTACGTATAATATTTGGAGACTTTTAATTGTTTTTAGTAAATCTCCCTCGAAAACCCCGAGGCCAGATATGTAAAACAAAGCCATATGGAATATATTAGTACTTTATTTGAGGATTAGCTATTACAATTTAAAGCAGTGCTTTCCATAGCACGATAGTTAGGCCGAAGGCATCGAAAGTGTTGTTTTCTCTAAAAAATGAGAGAGAACCATGAAACATAATTAGGATTAAAGTATTAAATTTATCAAAACTAGTCCTAAATAATAGGATACTTTCTGCAAAACATTGGCTTCGTTTAGATAATGGCAATAGCTTACTGAGGGATAGTTCTTAGTTAGATTTTGCAGAATTTTAATGTTGATTGGGGTTTAGAACGGACTTGATGAAATCTAAAAATGGAAAAATTTCTTGTTAATATTGACTAGAACAATAAGGATAGCAAATAAAAATGCATAAAACTCGTTTATGAGTAATGAATTCAAAGCGTTGAATGTCAAGCAACAATTAATTCATTATTTCAAGCTCAAATAACTTGAACGCAATCATATTATATTATGGTTAGGAGATCGGCATCAATTCTTCCTAATGAAAATTTCGGTTTTAGTTATACATTGCAATTCCAGGTAGTCTTCCATCCAATTGATCAAGTATTCATGTAGAAAGCTTTTACTATCTTCTCACCCAGAAGAATGGTGCCTTAGATTCATTTTTCATCGACAGCTTAGTACGTTTTTAAGTATCTAAAACTGTTGGTAATTTAACATGACGGTACTTTTTAATTTCCACAAACCCCAAAATTGGTGCATCAATTGGTAAACCCTTTTCCCATTAATTTTATGACACAAGACTTACATGAAATGTGGTTGATCGCGAAATTATTCGAACATATAACATTCAGATACTCATTTTTATGAACAAGTTGTGGACAGGAAAGGACAAGTGCTTTTGAATTTCAGGTCATTGATTTGCATTCCACCCCCTCCCCCTCACTCCACCCAACTCCATCTCTTTTACTTAAACCCCATGAAACTCTTTCCCTTGGTATCACACTGGCCGAAGCAATTAATCTACAGAAACAGTGAATGAGGCGAATTAAGCTTTTAATTGCTGAATGGCATCACAAATTCAGTCATATATTCAAAACTTAATACCCATCTTATTATACTCTGGATATAATGGGGAAATAAAGCAGAGTTATTCAACGTCCTAAGTTTTTTTTCAATATATATATTTGAAGAGGAAATATCAGAACTTCAGTAGAATTGACTATTTAGATTTACTATGGGTTTTAATTTATTTCACAACCAAGTAATTACATTTTAATGCAAGTTAATAAGCACCATAGAAAGAACCATCCCTTCAGTGCATGAAACGAGTGCACTTAATATACAGGGTTTATTATTTGTTGTCTACTGGAACGTTTACATAGACAGGGACTGCAATATTTTCGGGGATTGATGATTAATTCTAAAGAACTGGTCGGGCACTTGTGCCATTTGAATCAAAAGTAATGCAAATAGGTAGCTTAAAGGAGAAAAGCGTTAATTTACATCCATCATTTATTGAATGAAGGAAGTGGCAAATAGGGTGTTTACATCATGACCCAGGGTTTTCATATAGGTATATCTGTTGTCAAGTGGTTCCCTATTCTTAAATAAAATCTCGGGGTGCGTGATAGACTTACCTCCACGTGGTGCACCCTGGGCAACGTATACTCATACAGCAAAAAAGTCTATTAACTGGCAGTTGACCTCTGACTTCAAACTTCCATAACCCCACTGTATGTCATATTCGACTACTTTCACAGTACTCACTTCACCTTTTTTCTACCTTCGTCTTTGAAACACTCTTCTGTTCCCCCCCCCCTCGTCTCGAATTTTTTTCACTTTGATGTTCCTCCTCCCCTCTGTGAAGCCTGAAGTCAACTAAAGGGCTATCGATAACCATCAAAACGCCTGCCATTTGATATAAATAAGTAAAATCC